GAGTAGGGATGCTGTCACATAGTTGACAAAAATTGCGCGGCGGCTGCCGGAGAGCTGGAGGTTGGATGTTGCTGTAGTTAGCCCATCCGGTGTGAGAAGCTGTCGCGGGACCGTGAACGTTCCCTAGTGTGAGTGGTAATGTTGGTGTGAGTTGCTGGGGTAGTTTGTGGTGGAGGGCCTGTCCAGGATGAGTGCAGGCGGGCTGCGTCTTGTGGTGGGGTACGTGGTGAAGGAGTGGGTGACCGGCTGGAAAGCCCGGGTGGTAGTGGAAAACCTGGCGGTATGTCGTGTAGAATGGCAAGGTTTCTGCTGGAGAGTGAGGCTGTGGGGTTGATGCGATATTGCCCGGGGAGGCCTGGGCCGGTGGTAACAAATTGGAGGAGCCGGCGAGCCTGGGAAAGGTTATCAATCAGGCGGTCCAGCAAGATCAGGTCACCGCGCATTCGGTAAAGGAGGTTGTATGCTCTCTGGTCCTGAAAATACGTCTGGCTTGGCATAGGTTCAGTGTGGAATGGGTGGTGGCGGAGGTGTTGGTTGACCATAACGAGAAGGTCAAAGGAGCTGTTGAGAGATTGAAAGTCAGGCTGAGTGCAAATTGAAGGTTGGAGCCAGCTCGGAGGCCGCTGTGGCAAGTAATGTTCTGTGTTGGCGGTGTTGCCATAGGGGCGAGCGCGAGGATTGGCCATGACAAGTGATGGATTGTGATGGCGTACAAAAGGCTGCGGAGCTGAGGTGAGCCTGAAAACTGTAAAATCAAAGGTGGGCAACTGGGTGAACATAAATTGGGTGTGAATAAAATTCAGTGCATGTCAGCGAATTTGTCGTGCGGCACGCCGTAAGGAAAGTGGGTGAAACGGATCAAATGAAATAGCTGCCAACTGGCGTGAGTGGAGATTTCTCCGGATGACTGTCCTCACTACGCGGTGGCTCAGCAGCCGGCGGCAGCGGCGCAGCAGCTGGAGTCGTTGGGTATTGTGAAGTCGGTGGTGTTGTGGTGGGGGAAGGGGAGAAGTCTGGTTGTGAATGTGGTGCTGGGGAAACTGCTGGTGATGTAGGTGTTGGTGAGGGGGAAGGTGCTTGCCGTGGTGGTGCAGGTGGTAGTGGTGTGGAGAAAAGTTGCTGGTCCTGCTGTCGTTGCATGTCTTTGAGTTCTTGCCATCGGGCTTGGCATTGTGCAACGGAGAAACCCACGCGGCGGGCCACAGTAGTCCAGTTTGGACGAAGTTTTGGGTTTTCTTTGAGTTCGATCAGGCGACAATCAGCGTCGCCGTCCCAAGCGTCCCAATCGGCGTGTTGGTTCAGTGGTGGTGGGGGTGGTTGCTTCCGCTTGCGTGTTGTGGCGGGTTGTGGGACAGGGGGTGTTGTTGGAGTGTCGTCGGAATCCTGTAAGGGTGGTGCTGGTGAACGGATGGGTGGTCTTGATGGTGCTGAATCACAGGATGAGGTGGTGGATGGTAAACGTATGGGGTGATTGGGTGGGGTTGGAAGTGGCTGAAAGTGTTGGCGGAAAGTGGGGTCTGCTTGGTGGCTGTGGTGGAGGAAAACCGTGTGGAGGTGTGCTACAATATCTGTGGCTTGTCGAAGCAGGTTGTGCACCTGGGAAAGTGCCACTGCAGTTTTGTGTAGGAGAGTGGCGGTGTCGTTTTGTAGAGGTGTCAGCTTGCTGCTCATGGGGCTGAGATGTAGGGGTGTGCAGTAGTCAAGAATCGTCACAGGTTGCTGCGGCAGCGCACCAAAGCAGCCGGAAAGCGGCGAGTCTGAGGAAGCACATCATTCCGAGGCCGTGCATATGAATTAAGCGAGCATCAAATTCCCACAGGCAAAAGGGTGAGTACGCAATGCAAATTGGACAATCGAGTACATGGCTTAAAGAATCACTCTCCACGATACAGAAACCGACATGTGAAAGACTCCTGCAAAACAGCCGATACAATTCAAAAGATTCTCAGCAAATACTGCGGAGCTAGAAAAATGAAGGGTGCAAAATTGCCCGTGGCTGCTGCAAGAGACTCTTTTTTGCTGCTACAGCAAAGGTTGGGTGGTGGTGTGAGACCAAAAGTGGATGTGGAGGTGGTAGTGAGGTGTGGATGTGTGGCAGTGGCGTTATGGGTCCGGTGGGGTGGAGTTGGTGGACCAGGCCAGTCCTTTGACAATGGCGTGGTCCGGGTGGATCACCCAGCAGCGGCCCTTCTGATGAAAGACCGCACCATGGTGGTCGTTAAGGAGGTTCATGGCGTGTTCCTCACCTCCAGAGGTATACTTTGTGGCGGCACCCCAAGCAAGGAGTGTGATGATAAGGGAATGGGAGTTCTTGTGGAGTTGCCAGGTGTTGTGGATGATGCGGGCAAATTCGTTGTGGTCATGGGGTTGGTTGTGGGTGATGCGAACGCCCTGGGCAAAAAATCCAGGGTAGTTGGCAAAGTGGAGTGTGCTGGGTAGAAAACGGCCTTGGCGTAGAATGTTGGAAATGTTGCCGACGGGGCCTGTGTGGCCTGCGTTGATGTGGGCAACTTCTCGGTGGGTTGATGTGGCGCGGGAAACCGCAGGTGGCTCGGGTGTAGTGGCTTTGGTGTTGAGGAAGGGAAGTGAAATGGCATAGTACTGGAATTGGTCGTATTGGTGAGTTGTGTCGTTCCACTTGGCGTGGGTGTATTGGCGGAAATCGTTGATCTCCTTGTAGGAGATGTTGCAGTCTGTGAGGATATTGGCAATGTACTGGTGTTGTGGTCTGTTGGGATTGTCGAGTTGGGTGGCGTGGAATTCGAGCCATTCCAGGATTTGGTCTGCGGGTGTGAGGGTGTGAAAGTTGGGTGGAGGTCGCCAACGGTTAAGTGGGCGACGGATGACGGCTGTGGTGGGATATTGAGAGGGATCAGGGTTCGCGTGTTCGGTGTTTGGACGTAGATCAATGGGTTGTGGTGGGGATCGACTGCGGGATGGTGTGAGGCTAGATGTGTAAGTGGATGTGGAAGGCGAACGCCGTCGCCTGGTTTTGCTGTGGTGTTTGGAATGGTGGTGATGGCGATGTCGGCGGCGGTGGCGGTGGCGTCCTCTGTGGTGATGGTCGGACTTACGTCGGCTCTGGCGATGGTGGCGGCGACTGCTGTGTGGTGGTTGTGGGGAAGGTGGTTGTGGTGCTGGTGAGGCAGTGGTGTCAGGTTTGTCTGATGCTGGTATTGAAGGTCCCGGTGCTGGTGTGGCAGAGACCAGCGAGGGGGATGCTGAATGTTGGGATACGGTGGCCGGTGTGTTTTGGACTGGTAATGGATTGTCCTGGGCAGTCGTGGGGTTGGGTTGGATCTGTGGTGTTGGATCCGATGGTAGCTGCTGTTGAAATGGAGGTTGGGTTGGCATTGAGGCAGTGGTAATTTGTGGAGGCGGTGGCGGGGGCCCCGGTTGGAGTGGAGGTTGTGTGACGGGGGGAAAAGCTGAATAGGGTTGCCAAACGCCCTGTGGGATGGCACATTGGGGATCTGTGGATGGATGATTGGCAATCGCAGTCTGTTGCTGTGTTGAAAGGGGATGTGTCAGTGTAGTGGGGGGAGGAAGTTCCGCTGGTGGTGTGGGATGATGTGGTGGCAGCAGGTAGGACGGGGGAGGTGCTGCTGTCGGAAACACTGGAGCTGGATGTGTGGGTTGCGGTGGCACGTGACATGGGGGGACAAAAGTCCAAGTGGATGGTGTGCCGTAGGTCATTGCGGTGGCAGTAGGGGCGGATAAAACCGGTTGTGGTTGAAATGGTTGTGGTTGGAGGTGAGGGTATGCCGGTGGTTGTGTCGAGGGATAAGTGGGTGCTGTTGATGGCTGTGGCATCGGCCATGTGGGTTGAGGTTGTGTGGTAGGTAGTGGTGGTGGCGTGGTGTGAGCATAGGGCCACGGAAAATGCATGTCGTGGCGTAGCTATGGCTCGGCGCGGCGCGGCAGCAAAAGGCAGCGAAGAAATGCCGAGTGGTATTGTCTTGTTGTTGTCAGCGCTGGTGTCGGTGGTGAGGATGTTGTAAGGTGGTGCTGAGCGTTCGCTTGTTGGTAAGTGTGTGTTCATGCATCTCGAATTAAGCTGAAGAGTTGTAATGCCCTTCCTTGAGTGCTGTCGATTAGAGAGTCGCGGCAGCAACATAACGAACACATAAACACGCACATGATTGGAAGCCATGGAAAGAATGCCGAAATCGGAAAAACAAAAGTTCTGAATCTGAGTGATTTGTCAAAAACCGTTTTTTGGCCCGGCGGCCGGTGTGGCAGTTGATTCAAAGTGGGGGTCGGTGCTTTCCTGTGATGTTCCAGTGATCGGTGGAGCGTTGGGGTGGTTGCTTTCCCATGCAAAAACAGCGCCCCTGTGAAGGGGATCACACTCAGCACCCGAGTGGGACGGCTGAGCAGGACACACTTCGAACTTGGATTTTTCAGTTAATGCAAGTATCACGTTGGGAAGGAAGGTGAGGGAAACGTAAGGTGAAAGGTCAGCGCAACTGAAATGTTTAACAATCTGTTCACTCATCTGCAGAAGCGCGGCTGAACGTCGGCAGCTGAAAGCTGTGGTGGGAAACCTGTTTAGGGGATGGAAGACATGAAACACCATGAAACAAACCAAAGGAGTGGACAGCGTGGGCAACAGTTTCTTAGCAGGTACACGGTCAGACGTCTCTGACCGCATCCACCGAGCAAGCATAGCTTTGTTAGCCAGCGTTTGCTTGTCGGCCGCTGGCCCCCTGCTTGTGGAGAAATGGTGGTGGAAAACCCTTTGTCCAGGGTGGGACACACACACACACACACACGCCTCCCGTCTCCTGTCCACCTGTAAACTAGTTTGCAAGCAGAAGTGCACGTATTCGCGAAGGGCCGGACCGATGCGCACACATTGTGATTTAAGTGGAGCCTAAAGATGATTAAGGATGTCCGGAACCTCCGAAGTCCGCCAAAACACACACTTGAAAACCACATCTCCGGGAAGGGTCCGGTCCTGTAGCCCTGTCCTCTCGGCTTCGCTTTGGCCAAGTCACTTGAGGACCACCTCTTGCATAACCCAGGTCACGGGAGTCTCCCCAATCGGGCTCAGGCACCTCAAATCTCAGACGGTCCGAAGCTCGCTTCGCACCTCCCTCCGCGCCGAAACTTCGGGAAAAAAGGAACCTGTTTGAAACGGAGGGCATGCTGCACCCAAGTCGACCAAAACAAGAAAAAATAGCTACTATGGTGGAGGCCATCGCTCTTAGGTTGGAGGCCATCGCTACTCGGGTGGAGGCCATCGAACCTTTGAGTCAAAAGGGATGTGAATCCAAAACTCGTGCTCTGTCTCAACACCCAGCCAAACACCTGGAGAACCTTTGCAGCCAACAGACATGCCCGGGCAGCCCATGTTCTGCAACATTCCAAGCCTCAGTTCCATGAACGTCCCACCATGCCTTTGAGCACTGCAACAGCCTTAAAGACACACCAGGCTGCGCAACACGTTGGAGGGTGTAGTAGGTGAGTTTGTCTTGAAGTTTCAGGATTGACTGAGCAGCACAGGGTGAGTGGCTAGAGAATCCACTCCGGAGCACAAAATCGCACGCAAACAGGGCCCGAAGCATTCCAACAGGCCCTTTCCAAGCTTGAGATCAAAAGCACCAGTGCCTCTGCTGTCTCACATCTTCAAATCGGAACTCTCATCCGGCAAGTTGCTCGTTCACATCCCAGCGTTGCATACTGTCGGGCTGGAAGAAGAGACAATCCTGGCGCAACTGGCGCCGTCCCTCCGCGACCGGGCGCGCCGACCGACCCGACTCGACCCGACTCGACCGGATCGCCGCGCGCCTGGCTGGTGATGAGCGCGCCTTCCTCGCAGCTGGCAGCACCCAAGCACCGCCCAGTGATCTCCTCGAGTGGCGGAGGGCGCCTCGATTCTTCGGGTTCCACCGGATGAAAAAGGAAACGAGATTCTTCGGGGGCTCTCTTGGCCGGTGGGGTGATTTGAAGCTTCCGGAAGGGTCAAGCTTCAAGATGAAGCTCAATTGGAGCATTGGCCTTTCCTTGCTCAAGGATGCTCATGGTACTGATGTTGAAGAAACATCTCTGACCGCTCGCACCCCGAAAAAGGTGATAGTTGTCTTACAAACACTCCAAGAAGCCAGCAAACCTCCAAGCCCTCTTTGTTGGCTCCAATTCCGTCGAAACAGCTTGAAACCGACTGTGTCGGCTTATCTCAGTCAGAGCTCCTGTCGGATGAAGCCTTTCCTGGAGTCATGCGTTTTGGGGCGACGAGGACGAAGTCATGGTTTCTGTCGGTAGAAACGGTTTGCCTTCATGGCTTAACCTTTCAAACTCAAAACTCCTCACCTAGGTATAAATGTCCTTCAAAATCTTGTCACACAGAAACAGTGGCGACAGGTTTCAGCGCGTCAGACATTCAGCCTGGGCATCACCGTCTGTAAAGGGAAGCCCGTCGTGGTTGAGGTGGTCGGACGTGTGGTGGTCATTGTCGAGGTGGTCACGGTCGTGCTGACCATTTCGCACCAAACCTCAAGAAGTCGCAAACTGTTCCCTCGAAACAAGCAGTTCGTAGCCTAGCAGTTGTTCCGTTCGTTCATATGATTCATATATATTATATATATGATTAGATTAGATGTCTGTAGCCTAGTAGTTGTAGGATGTGCTTTCATAGCAGCTTAGGACGTATTTCTGACCTAGAGGCCTAGAGGGTCCGATTCGTGCAGCTTTGCACTCATGATGCGGATTGGAACATGCTAGTCTATCCCTATGTCACTTCCTTCCCATGGCTGAATACGATGTTGCTATATACATCTATATACTTGCAAAAAATCCATCGAAGCCAGACCCAACAGGGGATCCTGAACGCAACAAGCACAACAAGCATTCTGTTGACACTCGGATGAGATGTGTCGTACGATCTGCGGAACCGCACCTTGGCATCTTCGGTGTGCCAGCAGTTGTTGATGCCCCAACCAGCATTGCTGCACAAGCTCAGGAATCCTTCATCACCTGTGAAACGCAGGCAGCGCGTGCACATCCTGCCTTCTACCACAAAGTGTTGCCAAGAACAGGCTGACAAAAACTTGACCCGCATGTGAATCCTTCTACTGCAAGGTTTGTATCATTGTTCCTAGTAAGTAACTAGTAGCTTCTTGTTACTAGTAAGGCCAGGAGCACCCCGTTCGTAGCGTCCGATCGCTCCGTTCGTGTTCCGTTCGAGTCGCGATGCCCTTGGTCCGCCCCGCTCCGCGTTCGCACGGCACCGCGGCCTTGGCAGTTGATGTCGTCGATCCAAATCGTCTGCTCCTCCGAGCCGCCGAAGCCCGCGAGCGCCGACGCGTCGTAGCGGCCCCAGGCACCTGCGCGTCGTGGCGCCGCGGCGATGCGAAGGCTGAGCAGGTCAGGTGGATTTCGTGCCTTTCCTTCGAAGCGATTCTTTCTATGGTCGACTCTATAGGATGTTTTAAGACTAAAAGGGGGAGCCACTGTGAAGAAGACGAGCGATCTAGCGCTCCAACCGAAGAGCGATGCTAGCGAATGGTCTCTTTTCGACCTTCCAACGTGAAGTCCCGCCTGTGAGCCCCAGCTCGTTACAAACCACTTGCGCTTCCACCCGTCCGAAGCCGTCCTTGCAGACCTGGCGAAGCGGTCGAAGCGGTCGATGTGTTTTCCGAAATTTTGTAGAAGAGCATCATGTGATCTATCTGAATCTATCTATTATCTGCTTATCGACTTTCTTCTCCAAAAACCCATCGACTCGGCCCACCCCTTTCGGTGGCGCCGCGCCGCGCGCGAGACTCGAGCCGAGCTCAACAGGCCAGCAGATCGGTGCCCCAGTGATTCTCGTAGAGAACCTCAACACGACCCCGCACAAAGCCCTCCTGAGAGCGGCAAACCGTCGCTTTGGCGCCATGCAGGCGCCATGGGGTTTTGGTCGCGAAAGTATTGAGCAGTTGGCGATGCCCTTTGTTCTGTTCGTAGCGAACATTGCTCCGTTCGTAGTAAGGCCAGGAACCCCGTTTGTAGCGTCCGAACGCTCCTAGTGGCGCCATGGGGGTTGTCTTTCCAAAGCGACCAAAGGTGTTGGTCGGCCCGAGATTTCGGGGCGCACTCGTGTCATTCGAAGTCCGAAAAGCGAGTCCTTCGAACGAAAAGTCGCCTGGAGACCCTGGAAATGAACACCGACCAGCGGTTTGAGTGTTCTCATCTCAGTCCTCCGGCATTGAATCGCCAACATTGAAGACATCTCCTGCAGAGATGATCGACATGAACACACAGCAAATGACCAGCCGCTGGCAGCCGCTGGCAGCCCAATCCACATGAAGAAAAAACAAATCACACAACACGTCGGTGTGCACCCGGGTGGAAAAAGAGAGAGTCAACTTCAAGAACATCAGACGTCCGCAAGTGTCCTGATGGCTGCACCAGCCGCACTGGTGGGGGTGGCAAGGTTGTGGTGGATGTGGAGGTGGTCGTTCCTGTGGTCGTGGTGTTCCATGTGGTTGTGGATGTTGTGGTGGTCGCTGTGCTCGTCGTTGTGTTGATTCGGGTGGCTGTGCTCGACGTGGACATGTATGTCGTCGTCGTGGCCACCGTGCTCGTGAGGTTCATCCGGGCGCCCTCCGTGGTGCCGTCCGTGCCCTCGAAGTGGTCGTAGCTGGTCGTAGTGGTGGCCATCGTCGTCTGGCTGATGGAGGTCAGGATCGTCGTCTTCGACTCGGCCTCTGGTCGCAGTCCCATGTGAGGACTAAGGCTCTAAGGCTAAGGTGATCCGTTGGAGACTCACGGGAGCTTTATGATCTATGATGGTTCACAAAACAGATCTGTCAATGATCAAACTGACCTGAGGAGCACCACGGATCTGCCGCCCAGAACCTCCCCACCTGAGTGCTGCTCACCGTGGTCACCGTCGTCACCGTGGTCGACCGCGTGGTGCTTTCCACGTCCGAGTCATCACCCTTCTCCAGCTCGCTGGAATTCCCACTATCCTCCCAGGGTCGGGCCAGCCCCGTTCGTAGCGTCCGATCGCTCCTAGTAGTAAGGCCAGGAGCCCCTAGCTTCTGAGGTTACAGAGGAGGAAAACTCAAAGCCGGAACCCAGGCCGGCATCCGCTCAATGCCGATTGAAATGAAAACGTCAAGAACGATTTGAAATGACTGCCGTCAAGCCAAGTACCAAGCTCACATAGCAACTCTAAAAAACAGGACTACTGACTACTGCACCAAAGAAAGCAGCAAACATTGCAGAAAGACAAAGAAGCCAAGTTGTACAGCAAAGGGCAACTCGAAGATGAAAAGGTGGAGGCCATCGCTAGTAGGTTGGAGGCCATCAAGCATCAAAATCACCCATCCTCGCTGTCCGAATAGTCAGAGTCTACCGTGCAGTTCATGAAACCTCGTTTCTTCACTGAATGGTCGGACGCCTTTTGAGTCAGAAGGGCCATACCCGTTCAAGACAGAAAAAGGTCTTGGAGTCATTTGAGTCTTCAAGAGCCCCACATCAATGCATTTCTTCGAAATCCAAATCCAAAGATTTGCAGCAATTCTCTCAGGCTCGTCACAGTCGCTCTGGCAAATGGTCAGCTGGTCCTTGGTCACTGACCTGAGTCACACAGCTGAAAAGTTGAAAGGATCACCTCGTGGGTGATGACCTTTCTTCCTAGTAGCTTCTTGTTACTAGTAGGGTAAAGAGGACCCCACTCCGAGCATCTCCAAGCTACAAAGGAAACCCCCGGAATTCCAAGCCAGCGAACTGGGCCATGATGAACCGCGGCCTAGCCCCACCTCTATATATATATATATGACTTGCTACTCGAGGCGAACAAAAACATCAAGAACCCTTGGGCAATTTCGTGCTTAGCAACCAAGTTTGCGATCACTTGACCAATCAATCGATGAAAGGACCAAAAGGCTACGAACTGGGACCAAAGGCACATCGAGTTTGTGAACGTCAACGATCCCGGTTCCTCATTCTTGCAATTCATTTGCCTAAACAGGCCTAAACATGGTTGAACTGGGTCGTGCTTTGAGCTATCAGACAAGCAACACTACCACTCTAATACCACCTAGACTACCTAGAAACATGTGATTGATTGGTCTGCAACACAGATCTTCACCACTCACTCTCAGCCTTTCTCCGCCTTGACCCACTCCTCTGCCGGGCGGCTCCTCCCGACAGTCTCGCGAGCAGTTTTGCCCACATGCACTGGAGGCCATGGAACTCAAGCGCCGTGGAAGGGGCCTTTGAGCGGTCTCGAGAGAGCGACGAAGCACGGTCTCGACGTCCTGGGGCAGGCTCGACGTCTCGAAGTCTAAGTTCTCTGACATGTCTGCCTTCATCTGCGACTTTTGGCTTAACACAAGTATTTCCCCAAGTATACTCATTGAATATTAACATCAATATGTCATTAAAACGGTATCCCAAGAATTCCTAAAATCACCCAATATTACAAATTAATATATCTTTAAGTATAAATTCAATGAACATACACTTAAAGAGTAGTTAATGTATAAAATATATAGTATTATATTATGAAAAAATATGAATTATGTGTTTAAAACTGATGAAGCAGAAGACAAAGAACTAAAGCCAATAGTTATATATTGACAATCAAAAATTCAGATATAACCAAAACAAAGATATCTCAAAAAGATTGAAAAAGAAATTGGAATCAGTGAAGAAAACTATTGAATATAGAAGTTACAACCATAAGATAATTTCATTGGCTGTAGGCATGAAGGAAGCCCTAACCAAATATGCTACCAAAATAAGTTCAGGGTAGAAAAAGGTAAATCAACTTTTAAAAGATATGCCAATAATCTCAAGCTCATAAACAAGCATTTTAAAGGAGAACAAGGCTTATCAATGATACAACATCAAAAATCATTACTTGTAGAATGTCTTTAAAAGAATCATAATATGAAACTCAACATAAGATCGGAAGCATTATTTAGTAAGCCTAATGTTAATGATGGTGAAGATTTTGATGGTGATATAGGTGAGTCTGAGATTCTTCATAATTTACCATCCACAAGATTCAACATTCATAATGAAGATGACTTGAATAAAGCTCTAGAAGATAGTGTAAAAGAAATACTATTTCAAATAGAACAGATTGAGGCTTCAAGGTCAAATCTCAAATTCAAAAAAGGTAGTTTCTATTACCATCCATTATGATAGATATAATCCAACTAGGGCAGGCAAATATATAGAGTTGCCTAATTATGTTAAGTTAAAAAAGGCGTGTATCAATATAACAAATAACTATAACAACTGTTTAAAGTATTGTATTCAATCAGTAGTGTTTGATAAAATGAATAAACATCACCCAGAAGAAATGGTTCATTATAACAAATTGATGGATGACATCATCAATTGGGAGTGTGTCAATTTTCCAGCAGGTAATAGAGATCTTGACAGGCTTGAAGTGAATAATGATGGTTTAATTTCAGTAGATGTTTTTGAAACAGATAATATGTTTAATGAAGAAAAATTATCAACACAAGAGCAACCAAAGTTTTATATTCTAAATATCATATTGACTTATTGAGAGTTTTTGCTGATAAAAGACGGATACCATTATGCTTTAATAAGATGTTTGAGTAGGTTTTTAAATTGTCAATTGAATAAAGATAAAAATAAAACACATATCTGTAGGTATTGCTCTCATCCCATTTGTAAAAACGAGGGCGTGGAAGAACATTATAAAAGGGGTTGTTTAGCAATTGCGGGGCAACAATTCAAACTACCCTCTGAAGGTTCTTTTATTGAATTTGAAAAGTATAATACCAAATTAGACTGTCCTTTTGTTATTTATGGAGATTTTGAATGCCTGGCTGTGACTTCTTCTGATGGGATTAAGGGCACATATCAAGAGCATAAACCTTGCGGTTATAAGACGGTTATATGTTGAATGTGGTGAATAGAATTGACAAAACATCCACACCTTATCTGTATAGGGATGAGGATTGTATGGATAAATTTATAGAACAATTGGGTAATATCAAACCTAATATCATTGGAAAAAATGCATGTTAATAAACCAATGGTTATTAGTGAAGAAGACGAATTAGAATTCAGAAGTGCTACAAGGTGCTCTATTTGTACTAAAAGGTTTGATGAATGTGATGAAAAAGTTAGAGATGCCAAAACACAAAATATAAGAAACAAAAATAACCAACTCTTCAGAAGTCTTGTCTTGGGGTGGGTGCCCAAAAACCAAAAAAACAATCCTAGGAGACTCTTTGGTGAGTAAACCAAAAAAAACAAAAAAACACAATTGCTGGGAGGTCTTGGGCTGGGGGGGTCCAAAGACTCTGTCAGGATTGTCTTTTTTGTTTCCTCCCCAAAGAGTCTCCTAGGATTGTTTTTTGTTTGTTTGTTTTTAAAGTCCTATGCATTTTTTCAGAGTACAACAGTTGAGATGTCCTTGGCAGTACTGGTGCTGTGAATTAATCTCAGTAGAATTTACTAAAAAATGAACCTCCAGATCACTGAACATAGCGGTATATAAAGTGCACTTCCAGGGCCTGCCGTTCTGAAAAGAAACCCCTCATAGTTTAGTGTAGATGGTGGCATTGCATTTGGGGGTCATCTTTTGTGAGAGGAACACGGAGCGACCGAAAACTGCCGCGCGCCCTCTCTTGGACCGGATGCATCCATGGCCATCGCTAGCAGGTCCATGGACCCCGATCCTTTCTTTTTGGGGCGAGCGCCTAAACATGCCGAGACATTCATGTGAGTCCTGGCAAGGCATCATGTGGGTTACAAGTTGCAACCGGCAAAGCACCATCCTCCAAGCTAATAGCGATGGCCATGGCCTCCAACCTAAGAGCCATGGCCTCCAACCTAGTAGCGATGACCTCCAACCTAATAGCGATGGCCTCCAACCTAATAGCGATGGCCTTCAATCTAATAGCGATGGCCTCCAACCTAATAGCGATGGCCTCCAATCTAACAGCGACGGCCTGCAACCTAATAGCGTTGGCCTCCAACCTAATAGCGATGGCCTCTAACCTAATAGCGATGGCCTTCAACCTAATAGCGATGGCCTCCAACCTAATAGCGATGGCCTCCAACCTGATAGCCATGGCCTCCAACCTAAGAGCAATGGCCTCCAACCTAATAGCGATGGCCTCCAACCTAATAGCGATGGCCTCCAACCTAATAG